GCACTAGACAAACGGAGGAAGAAGGCTCCCTCCTTTGGGGGAAGGCAGCACATCTCTCTGTCCCCCCTGGCCCGCCTCCCCACTGCCCTGTCTAGTCACAGACACGCACCAGGTGCCAAACTGGCGACAGAGGCGAGAAGCCGAGAGAAGAGGGATCCTCACCTTCGGTGGTGGAAGAGCAGACTGTCCGTCCTTCCCGAGATCGGCGCAGCTTTGGTTGGGCTATTTCTCAGTTAATTTATCAGCATCATTTTTTCCCCTCCCCGGTCAGGGTGGGAGTCGGGGGTCGCAAAGGACACACGGGGACAAGGATCACGCCCGCGCTCGGCCTCGACGGCCGCTCCGAAGGGAGAGATGTACCCGAGCAACTGGGAGAGGAGGAACACAGCCCGGAACAAAGGACAGTCCATTGGGACTTGATGTTCAGCCACAGGAATTCCTTTTTGGCAGAGCTGGTGCCACCCCCGCCCCAGAGGTGACCCCGGCAGCCGGGACCCTGCTGTGACAGCGCTGCCGTGGGGGTCCCTCTTACCCCACCCACCACACCGGGTCCTTCACACTGACACACCACAAAGCCACAGGAGAGCTACTTTGTAAGGACTGTTTTCCTTGCTGCTGAGACTTTCCATTCCGCCCCTCTCTGCAACACGCCCCTCACTGTTTTGTCTTGTTTACAATATAAGCTTGATTTAGCAAAAAAAAAAAAACCACAAAAAAACCCCACAACTTAAAAAAAAAAAAAATTATCCTGAAGGAAAAAAAAGGGAAAAAAAAAAACAAAAAAAAAGAGGAAAAAAAGCGTAGGGGTGAGAAGAAGAAATGTTATTGGTTTTATATCAAGCTATTAGATAGAACTTTAACTTTTCATTGTGTGCATTTTTGTAAATTGTACAGTAAAAAAAAAAAAAAGAAAAAAAAAAGAGAAAAAAAAAATTTCCTCTTTATGTAGAGAATTAGTCCAATTGTCATTCCAGGTCCCACCGTTTCTACCGAATGCTCCAGTTGTTCACTACTAAGTGCCTAACCTTTGAAATCTTTCACAGTGACGATGCAAACCTCTTTGCTTCGATGCATCAGACCTTGGGCGAGCGTGGGGAGGGCAGGAGGGGCAGGAGGGAGGGCAGAGCCCGGAGAACCCCTTGCCCTGGAGGGTCCACGGGGCTCCCACCGCCCCCACAGTGCACTCGAGGGCCAGGTTGGAAGCTTCCAGCGGGGAAGGCAAACACGCTTTGGGGTTGGTTTGGGTTTCGTTGGCCTTTTTTTTTATTATTATTATTTGATTTGATTTGATTTGGTTTGGTTTTATCGGTGGGAGGGGAGCGATTGCAGCAAACAAACCCGGCCTTTTCTCATTGACTAGCTCTGAGGGAGGGATGCAGGTGGAAGAGTCCAGCATCTGCAGGGATGCTCTTGCAGGAGGAGCAGCGTCTCACCTGGACTGTGAGAGCTCTGGCCGTGCTCCGGGGGGCATCATCCTTGTGGAGGGCAGTTGGAGTGAGCCTTGGTTTTATTGCCTGTTAAGAGAAGGTCAAAATAATAATAATAATAATAATAATAATGATAATAATAATAATAATCAAAACCTCTAACTCTGATTCTCAGGGATGAGATTTCTGTGTTCTTGCAACGACTCTTGCGTTGGATGATTTCTTTCTTCTGTGCCCCTGTGGATTTCTGCACTGTGAGCCTGGCAAAGGGGCAAACGCGCTGTGCTGGCGGGGAGGGAGGCTGGAAGCAAAGCTGGGGCAGGACCTCCCATCCCTGGCTCTGCTGAGCTGTTGTAGGGCTGCTTTGGGGCACAGGGTGGCCAGAGGACACCAGGAATAAAGGTGAAAGGAAGAAGGGTGGGAGGTGTCAGACAAGCACATCCCTAAAAACCCTGTTAGGAAGGAGGAGAGGGTTGCACGGAGGAATTTTTTCAGGGGATCTCCCAAGCCCCAGAACTGTGAAGCTTCTCCAGATGAAGTGGTTGCTTAGGACGGGGAGAGATCCCGCTGGATCCCGGTGATCCCGTTTGGCACTGGGGAGGTTGGAGGGTATTGGATGCTACCAAAACGCTCAGGAGGTCTCTCGTGCTCTCAGCAAAAGCCTTTCAGCCTCAGGCAGGGAGCAGTTTGCTGTAGGGTGGTTCTTCACATCTCCTGTAGCTCTTCTGTTGAGGAAATTCAACCTGTTTTTGGTTTGTTGGGGTTTTTTTTTCC